GCCTCCTACTGGGATTGAGCCTGTGACCCAGGCGTGTGCCCTGACCAGGAATGGAAACACTTTAGTAAGATTAACATAGAATAGTAAGCCTTTATGAAGGGTTGGGAATTGAGCTGGATTTCAAAGAAAGATAGGATGTAAATGGATGCTGTTAACATTTATTTTGCATTCATAATGTGCCAGGTACTGTTCTACCTGACTTTGTCTGTATAAAATCATTTACTTTCCCCTAAATCCTATAAGGCAGTTTCTATAATTATCTCCATCTTATAGATGGGGAAACTGAGGCACAGAGTAGTACAGCAACTTGCCTATGGTCACATAGCTAATGAATAAATCCAGCCACTCTTTCTCCAGGGTTCATGTCTCACCAATGCTCTGTTGCTTCAGGAAGGAGACACAATACAAATAAAGACATTAAACAAGGAATGTTGTTTTATGTTTTGGAACCAATGGACAGTCTGAATGTTGGAAGACTTGGAAAGGTAGGGTAGAATCAGGTCAAACACAGGATTGAATATTGACAATGGAAGTTTACAGTTTTCAAGGCATTGTGAAGAAGCTGAAAGGTTTTGGAAGTAGGACAGTCTAGAATAGGTATGGTTGTAGAGACAAACGTCCAGGAGATTATATCATAACACTGTCATTTTACCAAGAAGAGGGCAGTAGGTTAGAATTTGGGTGCCGAAGGTGGGACTAGAAAGAAGTGATTATTTATGAGAGATGTTCTGAAAGTAGAAGTTTCAGGACTTAGAGTCTAGTTTGGGATGAAGGCAACAGAGAGGGAGGGTCAAGAGTAATGCCAGGGTTTTTGGCTGAACAGAGGAATGGTGGTATCTCCACCTGAAACCCAGGGGTTGTGAAACTGAGTTTTGGAGAAAAATAGTGTTTAACTTTAGACAAATTCAGTTTGAAGTAAAGGCTTGAGGTGTCAGAACAATGTCCAGTACGAAGCTGAAGATATGGGAACTGGGCAAGAAGAAAAATAGTCTGGTTAGGAGTCGGCTGCAGAGAATGGTGGGCTAGTGAAGGAGACCAAGAATGTGTTTGAAGAGGCCAGGGAAATAAGGCTAGGGGAGTATGAAAGTCAAAGGAGGAAAGAGTTAAAAAACCCCACAGTAGTTAACAGCATTAATTGGTTAAGGAAAGGAGAAGTAAATAAAACTTGGGAAGGTCACTGGTTTGGCTCAAAGGAGGGGAGTTGGGACTTTTGAGTTTAGGCAGAGTGGTGGGGAAGGGAGATAAGACTTTTAAAGGGTTAAGAAAAAGGGCAGGAAATTACTAAAGTGAAAACAAATTAGGAACGTTTATCAGTTATAATGTTTACCACTGTATTTTGTACATAGCGGGTATTTAACAAATATCTGCAAATGAAGTGACTATTATGTCTGACATGTGGAAGGAACTAAATGTTGGTCTTGAGTGTGAGTGTGTGTGTGTGTGTGTGTGTGTGTGTGTGTGTGTGTGTGTACTGTTGCAAGTTAGAGGGGAAAGGGAGCTGTTAGGGAAGAAAGAAGGAGGTAGAAGAAAAAAAGGAGGATGGAGGCAGTTTTCTCCAGAAGATGAAGAGGGGGATGATTTGGAGCATGGGGGACTAGTGAGAGGAGGACCGATATCTAAGAAAAATGGGGAGGAAGAAAGGAGATTTATAGGGACAGAGATGTGTGAGGATGAAGCTAGGGGAGATGAGCAATTTTGTACTGGCAAACCTAATGTTAAAGACTATATATATAGTCTTTATATATATAAGTCTCAGAACAGGTCTTCGTGTAAAACTTATATATCTGCAAGGGCCACTGGGATAACACAGACCTTGACTTTGAAGCCCATGCATACTTGAATTTGCTTGAGCCTTCAAAAATGCACATTGTAGCTGGGCGTGGCCTTGGCTCATGGATGAGATAATACACAAGGTTCAGCCCAACCCTGCCCACCATCAGGGGCAGGGCTCTCTTTTCTAGTCAGGAAAGTTACTCTCAGCATCTCTATGTGTTTTTTTGAAACAAAGATGTGGCTGCACGCTTGCCCTTGGCTTTGGAACAGCCATGTCTTTTATTCTTTTCACCTTTTTTTTTTTTTTCAAGCTCAAAAGTCAAAGCTACTGATCTTTCAAGGTAGGAGGATGTGACTGGGAGTTTTAAATCTGTCACACTGAGACACAGCTTTTCTAGGCCTTTGTTTTCTCATCTGATATATGAAGGGGTTGGACTTGAAGACATCACAGGTATATTTCTGGCTTAAAAATGCTGCTTTAGTGGAATAAAAACTCTGGCTTTTATCAGCTCTATCAAGGTAACTCAACCACCCTCCCACTTTGTAGATGCTCTTATGATCTGATAGAGAAATACGAAGAATTGCAAGCCAGCCATTTCTGAAATCTCCTGGAGAGATTGCAAACCAGGATCCGAGATACTAATATACTTTGAAATGACTGCAAGAGTTTAAGGGACATATTGTCTTTGCCCTCTCTCCCCCATTTTGTTATGTAATGCTGATTTTCAACACATCAATTGTTTTCAAACTTCTAGAAGATTCTGTATGTGCCAAGGTGGTCCTGAGCAGGTTTTTTGGAAATAGAAGATTTAAGGAGAATGAGACAGATAGGATATATGTACTCTCATCTTTTTTAGAGTTATTTTAAATGAGGGCTCAGAATGATGTGACTCAAGAGAAAAATATATTTCCCAAATATGGTTACTGGATTAAAATATACATTTAGAAAATAATATATTAATATAGGAAGTCCTTTGATACCTGTGGGATTTCTTTTTATCTGTTAGCTGAATAACTATCAGGACATTTATGTAGAAAGCTATACAATCATTTTTGATTCCTGTCCACCATCACCAAGCATAACCAAGCACCAATGACTTGTCCATTCTTTCTATCCCAGCTGCCACCCCCAGTTCAGACCCCGTGAGCTCACATCAACACTATTGCAGCAGCCCCCACTGGGTCTCTGCCTCCACTCTAGCCTTGCTCCAAATCATTACATCCTGCACTAATGTGCTAATGTACCAAAGTAGCATTTACCACTCCGTTCTGAACCCAGATGTTTTTAATGTCTCCTATTGCCTTTCTAGTAAAATCCACATGCCTTTTCTTGACATTAAAGGCTCATCCATCCTCACTTCCTTCCTTGTTAAGTAAATGGGATGCTCTGCTTGTCTCCAGTAAACCCTTACACTGAAAGTTCTTTCCTTCATTTTAGCCTGTCTAGATTTGCCCCAGACTTCATATCCAGCTACAGCCCAGCCTACTCAAAGCCTCCAGAATCATGTCATCTGGCAACAAGGCCTCTTTCATGTGACTGTCAGTTAATCTTTATGGGGCTCATGCACCATACATGGCTTTGGAGTGTAGCTAATTGTGTACCTGCCTTAGAATTTCTCCTAGCAGGAAAAAGCTGCATTTCTTACATCTTCCTGTCTCCCAAGAACCTAGTACATTAGGTCCCATTATTTATTTGCTGAATGAATGCAGGACTTTGTCACGGTAGGAGTTCGAATGCCAAAGAACAATTTTCTGACACATCAAAATTTATTTTCAGAAAGTACCTATTGATCGTTTTGATAATTTTTTTTCTCTCTTAAGAATTAATGGCTTAGAGAGGACTGAGAAGGAGAAAGTGGTCAGATGCTCGCATGTTGAAGGGTATCCTGGGCCTGTGCAGGAAATACACGCGGAGGGAAGTTATGGTAACTTCACCAGCTCTGTGGTGGGGAGGGAGGTGTCCTTCTGTGCTAGGGAAACCAGTGTTACCTTCACAAAATAATCACAAATATCATAGGGCAAATGGTTGAAAACAGAAAGCTTTCATTTTCTTTGTTTCCTGCCTAACACGTTGAATTCTGTACAATCAGAACTTAAAAATGGAATAAAAGTGATTAGGATTTTCCAACCTAATTTTTAAACTGCAAAAGAAACTCTGTGCTGAAATGGATCCCAAAAAAGTTCTTAAGAGGTTCTGAAGGGAAGTCAGATTGCTAACTAAATATCTACTGTATATATTCTACTGTGTCTTTAATTTCCCAATATAGATTTAGGTACTGAGTGCTGCCTACTCTACTCTCTGGTTCATCAGCCTCCATGTGGTATTTTATTTCTCTACGGTGCTATAATAAAGAAAAGGAAATATGAAATATGGAACTTAAACATGACAAATAAATGCAATTCACAAAGACTGAAGTTAAGGATCTCCCCAAATGAGGTTTAGACTGAAAAGGGACTTTATTATTGACAGATGTTCATGTTCAAACCCTTTTGTGCACTCGGGCAAGCTGAAATGGAAGAGTTGCCATGGTATAATTACTGCTTGTGGATCTGAAATAATTTATGAGGCATTTCATGTGACCAAATTATCTGTAGACCTTATCTGGGATCCATCTATGCCCTTCAGGAAGTCTTTGCAATGAATGGTAAGCAAAATGTTTTCTGTATGTGCATTAGAGGCACAGACTGTTTGGAGACATACTTTTTCTAAAGATGACCAAGAAAGTAAGTCAATTTTGCTGAATTCACAAAGCTGGTTTTCTATTCATTCATCTTTCAAAACATTGCCCCTAGAATAATGTATAAACAAACAAACAAATAAATAAAACCTTAGCTCTTCCACCATTTGTGTGAACTTGCTTAGAGAGTTCTTTACTTAATTTTGTTTTCCGCTACCTTTCCCAGAAAACAAGGGATTGGCATAGATCCCTGGTAGGCAAACTGCAGCTCGTGAGCCACATGCGGCTCTTTGGCCCCTTGAGTGTGGCTCTTCCTAAGCCTTAGGAGTACCCTAATTAAGTTAATAACAATGTACCTACTTATATAGTTTAAGTTTAAAAAATTCGGCTCTAAAAAGAAATTTCAATCATTGTATTGTTGATATTTGGCTTTTTTGACTAATGAGTTTGCCGACCACTGACATAGATCATCTCCAGCTTTCCTACAGCTTAGTACTTTTTGTAGGAAAAATGGTGGAGAAAATAGAATTTATCTTGGTCCTGTCTTTTCCCACTCCATTTACTTCCCCACTCAATGATATTCTTCTTCCTAGCTCTCAATTTAGATATGTTGTACCTTCCAATTATATCAAGCCCAACTTTTAGAGGATCTAAAATTAATCACTGAAATTGTGTTGAAGTTTTGATGCAACCTGGCAGAGAGAAAATAACAGTAGATTAGGAGTCATGAGGTATGAGCCAAGTCTTAAGAGTCACTTACTTGTCCTATAACATTGGGCAAGTCATTGACTTCACTGAGTTCAGTTTTTCCACATATAAAATGGTCATAAAGATGAATACCTTGCCTATTTACTTCATATGTTAATATGGAGTTCATATGAGATAAAATAGGAGAAAATGCTTTTTTTTATTGCTAAAGTATTACAAAGGGTATTACATATGTGTCCAAAATGCTTTGTAGCACCATTTAATTACTAATTGTTTTGTAATCCCCAGGATATTTTTCCCATTGACTTTTAGAGAGAGTGGAAGGGAGGGGGAGAAACAGAGAAAGAGAGAGAGAGAGAGAGAGAGAGAGAGAGAGAGAGAGAGAGAGAAACATTGGTGAGAGAGAGAAACATTGATGTGAGAGAGACATATCAATTGGCTGTCTCCTGCACACATCCTGACCAGGGCCAGGAATTGAACCTGTAATTGAGGTATGTGCCCTTGTCTGGAACTGATTCCAGGATCCTTCAGTCTGAAGGCCGATGCCCTATCCACTGAGCAAAACTGCCTAGGGCTATAATTACTAACAAATCAACATGCAGATCCTTTCAGGGTCAAGGTTCTTTCTCTGATACTTGGAGCAACACCTTACAGATGGTTATCCACTCCGCCTGTGCAGAGGGCTACTTTGGTTATTAATATAGTAATTGACCTACTTACAATAGGCATAAAGGGGAAGATTTTTGTTGTAATCAAGCTTTCTCTTCCACTCCATTCTCATGGAAGCACAAGCAACTTTCAATTTTCCAGAAGTCAATTATAGCACAAGATTCACAGATTATCTGTGAGAAATCTTCTAGCTCTCAATGCCTTGCTCATAAGCAGCAGATAAGTACCTTCTTACCTCCAATCTACTCTCATGTTGTCTGTTGTCAAGGAGGAGTTGTGAGGGAA